GTTTTACATGGACGGTCTGTTCTGCAAATGTCCAAATTGTAAACCTGAAAAAAGATTTAATTGTTAACGGAAGTGCAAAGAATGACAAAAATTTAATGGAACTAAATTTTCCTTAATATATAGACGATTTTACTGACCATGCACTTAATTTATTTGCATTTCAACAATGCAAAGACGAGTGATTTATTTAAATTTCTTCTGATTGTTAAATAGGACATAGCAGAATGTGAAGATGCGATGATTCTTCCATTGGTGACATCGTACTATTTTGTCAGCCATGTTTAATTATAAATTGTTTTTGAGGTCGTCATTAAAAGAAAATTTTGTAATTTTTTTGCCACTTACGTATATTTGGTGATTAAATCATCGTTTGTTTATACATACTCTGGGTGTTTAATGTAATTGTGCTGCTTCAACCCAAAATGAAACGAAGAATGAAATTTTAGAATTTACCCTCTAGAAAGAATTAGGATTCGTAAGCGAATACATTGATTGACGGGCATCTGGGCTAAAAAGGAATGGGAGAAAATAAGGATTTTAAAAGTGTTACAGAAAAGGTATTTTTCTAATATAAAAAATTGATTTTGACCAAATCATTTACTTACTTATAAGTAAATACACTGATATAACGAAAATAATATTAACTATTTAAAGTATTAGACGTATGTAATTTTTTTATAATTAAAGCTAGTTGCGTGTGCTTGGCCTATTGAGGAAGGGGGAGATGGTGATAAAAAAACAACTGTCTTAATTACAAACTAAAATGTAGGATTTACAAGCAATTGGAAGTCTTTTAAACGCTTCACTCATTGCTTTTAGGTAAAACTTTAGACATTTCAAAATAAACAATTCATTGTCAGTATTACATAATCATTAATCAGTGCTCTTGGGGTTACCCCAACATTAATTTTTTCGATAACAATAGATTATGTGGATTATATACATTAAAAGTTTCAATATTATCATCATAAGTCAATAATATTTTTGTTTCGATAAAATTAGAAGCTAATAATTTAATAAAACAAATACACTTTCTATGTGAAGAGGAGATATTAAAGACTTTTCAGATTGGAAGAAGGCATTAAATTCATTGAATATAAGTAATATAAATTTAAAAATAATAAGTTTTAAGATGTGGATTCTGCATTTGATTAAAAATAAACTGACATTGTTCGTTTTTTTCTTCCAAATTCTGAGACTCGAAAAACTTCAGCAACACATTTGTATGTAATGATGAACGATCTATCCTCTTTATCCTCTGGCGACAAATACATAGAATGAAGAAATAGTCATCGTTTGTTCTTGAACCCTTCCTCTAGTGTTGTGTCGTCTGGACATTATTGTTGTCCTTAGTGAATTATTAGTATATAAATCTTTTCTTTTTAGTTTCATGAGACAACTTAAAGGAATTTGAGTTCGACCACGATGAAATTGTGACGGTGTATAATTACACTTCAAAGATTTCTTTACATTCCTCAATTGCAAATATCTAGAAATATTACTTCTTTGTATAATTTGTTTTGTAAAACATGCGATTAAATGTGTTTTTAATCTATTATACGTAGTAAATGTGGCTGATGTGTGTTCTTTTGGAACTTCGTGGTCCGATAAAATAACTAATTAACTTCCAATTTTGCAAACCAGTTATTAATTTAGACTTTGATGTTGAAAATAGTTTGCAAGAGTAGCAGTAAACACTTTTGCTTCTTTCTGAAAATATCAGCCAATCTCTCTTTTCCATAATTTTATTTGATTTCTTTCTGTAAAAATGATCATAAGTCTTTTGTAATATACTTCATCTCTGTCTTTACACACTGATTTGAAATTTTTTATATCCCTAATACTTTTGGTTTGTTTTTAAGATTGTGGTCAATAATAACATCTGTTAATTTTGTTGCCCATAAAGCTGTATCATTTGTCTATATCGTAGCATCTTTCTGGATTATCTACATCATCTGTGGTTTCGAAATCCTTTTTTTCAGTAGCATTTTAAAGATCTCGGGGGCTCCTTTATATTCCGGGATCCTACGCGGCCACTTAACACAATCCATTACTGAGGTATATACCACAAATGCTAGCACTAAAAAGCAAAAAGTTACGTCATCGAATTTTTGTACGCCTTTTATAACTTCGGGAGTTGCCACGTTTTCAATCTAGCAATTTANAGCTGTATCATTTGTCTATATCGTAGCATCTTTCTGGATTATCTACATCATCTGTGGTTTCGAAATCCTTTTTTTCAGTAGCATTTTAAAGATCTCGGGGGCTCCTTTATATTCCGGGATCCTACGCGGCCACTTAACACAATCCATTACTGAGGTATATACCACAAATGCTAGCACTAAAAAGCAAAAAGTTACGTCATCGAATTTTTGTACGCCTTTTATAACTTCGGGAGTTGCCACGTTTTCAATCTAGCAATTTAAAAAAAAATTCTCGGGCAGATTTATTTTTGTTACAAAATGATATCTTTTCAGATTTCTAGCTCTTCACACTGTAGAAAATCTAGAAATACAGTTTTGTATATCGTAATAATGTTAGTCGTTGCCAGAGAGTGCTATAAAGTAGACAAAACTTTCTTAATTTAATTTTCTCAAAAAATAAATAAAACTATTTCTAAAGTCGCTGAATTGATTGCTGTCGCCACAGTTTGGAACTGCTGTGATGTTTTGTAAATGTTTTTCCGGTTACATAATAAAGGTTAATAAAGCTGTTGACCCTTTGGAGAGCCGTTAGCGACGGTAACCTCGTTTCACTCTCCCCTTTCCAACGCTGACCTTTCGTGAGTCAAGACAGTGTAATCTTTGTTTTGTAACCAGTTTTTCCTAATCTCTGAATAGCAACACCAAGTCTAACAATTGCAAGGCACAAAAAAATAGCTCGGGATCAAGTTAGAGTGGTTAGATTTAGAGGTAGATGGGGGTTGAGACAGTCCCAATGTTTGTCTTGGGTGGCAAAAAATATTCTTGCCAAATTTAATGCGGATTCGTTGAACAGTATACAACGCGCTAACATATATACAGTATTACGTGTAATACCATCTGTTAAGTCAAAAAGAAATTTAGCAACGAGTTGCATATCTTGCCCGGCTGTTATGAGATTTTCATAAAAAAATAGCCTTTATGCTATCAATCGTAATAAATATAATAAATTGTGTGAAACGCCATCTCTTATCAGATTTTTATCAATTGCTAACAGATGAGCCCGCTGTTGCTCGGGCAAAAAGTAACGATAGCGACGATTAAGATTATAGCTGGTTTCATTGAGTGTGCAAGAAACGTTTACTCTCTCCCCGAGGAAGGAATTTCGAAAAATCCCTTCTTAGGAGTTGAAATTCGATACACTAATCGTTTGGGCTCGGCATTTATCATCATCATCATCATCCCATCTCGATTATATTATAAGATTAGAAAATGGCAGAAAGCTTAATTTTGAAAATTGAGATGAATTTCTTTTAAAAAAAATAACTGTGGGGTGCTCGTGTTTAAAAATGTTTTCAGTTGCACTTTCTGCCAATTTTTAAGGCTTACCATGAGAGCCACACTTATTTTTGGTCGTGTGCTACCAAAAATAGTGTAAAAGCTGAAAAAAATAAATGTACTAAAAAGTGAAAAAAAAAACATTATTTGATAGAAGACTTTTCTTTTTCATATGCATATTATTTTTCCATTAAATTGAGGGTCAACAATTAACTGATATTGTTGTAATTGGGAAATTATTGAACTGGCGAATATGCCGCTCGTCTTCATTTTTATTATTCTGTTAACTCCTCTCAACATTACTAATTACTAGTCAAATTGGAATATGGAATATGTGCCAATACTCGATTCGATTTTACCTAATGAAATAGAAAATGGTGATTCACCCGCAGTAAAAGACAAAGAGAGAGAAAACAAAAATGTTACTCGTGATAATGGAAACAATAGACGTAGCAAGAATGATGTTCGGATCTCTTCTGATAAATACGTGTTAGAATATTACTCAGGCTCGAGTGTCAACAGGAACGAAAGGAAGAATTTGTTAGATAAACAAGGCATTATTAACGAAACCACCGTTAGTTTCGTGGGTAAAACTAATGAGAAAACCGTCATGGTGGATGCTTATCTGTCACCATACATTACAAGTTCGTTCTCTCTGTTTACGCTGTTATTAGATTGTTACTACTACCTCAAGCGATTTTGTACACCGGGTGACAATTTTAAAAAGATCTTCTCTTTAAAATGTGTGCTGAAAAAATTGAAATTTTGGGGAGATGAGAAACGAAATGAGGAGAACGTGGAGTGGAAAAAGATATATGTAGCATCTCGGGATGGATCTGATTATAATGATTAAATTAAACAGGTTGCAAAATGTTCGACTTATTTTAATAAAAGCAAGAAATAGCTCAAATCCCATTCAATCTTAAAAAAAAATACTGTATTTTGTCATGTTTGTAACCGGAATTTCTTTCTTTAAGAAAAAGTAAATCATTAAATTTTATAACCAATAAATCATTAAACTTTATTTCCTTAGATTACAAAAATAAGAGACTAGACTGAGATTTGCTTAATTGACTAAACTTAATAAATAACAATTAACAGTATAAGTTACATCATTACAACGAAATTCGGTATAAGAAAGAATTAAATTTATCACATGTCGAAGTTTCTCTGTTCTCGACACAATAGACATTAGTTAAGTCTTCCTTTCACAAATTTAAGTTTTCGTTTTTGAGGACCACAGAATGACTAACAATACACGACCATTGTCGTGTATTGTTAGTCATTCTGTGGTCGTGTATTGTTAGTCATTAGTCATTTCATCGAGTCCCATTATTAAAAAAAAATCAGTGCCAGTCGGAGGTCAGAAGTTGACGATCAAATAAATATCCAGACCCGATTTGGTTGACGTATGCTTCGGCCTCAAGGATCTTATGTATTAATGAGGCATAGGTAAGAAAGTGTGAGCGTAGTCTATCGCTTTGTAGATAGCCCCGCAAATTGAACGACGGCATAAGGCATTCGAAGGTAGTTACGCTTATCTTGGTCACATTAGACAATTTATACAGGAACACTTTACTCAAATACATTTGCGAACAATCACGCATCTTGACTCCTGATCCTGAAACATTATAAGTACGTTATTGTCAATTTCTCAAAAAATTATAAACATCTTTATTTACTTCTATATTAAAATAATAGGGTTTCCAGTAATTTTAGTCTTATTTCTTTAGTGTATATAACAACTTAGTTTTCGACCATTCCTTCTATATGTGTAGAAGGGATGGCCATTTGTGGACCCGTTCTAACTGACAAAATGACTTCTGTTTTCTTTAGTGATGTTAGAACAGTAGTCAGTATATTTAAACACAATGGGATTGCTAAGTTGTGAACTACGATAGTGAAACAAGACTAACATTGCAAAGATATCAGAAGAAGAAGAATTTCCACAACCCTAGCTCAAACGCCATTCTGCCTTAAATTATTTGTGCAAGAGTCAACTGCGGGGAATTCCTAGAATTCCCCGCAGATGACTCTTACAACCTAAAAAATTCTTACAACCTTATTTTCTGTCTGTTCGTTGATTATTTAATTATTACCAATTTATAGATTAAATTCTACGAAAATTCACAGGGCATCTATATAAACATAATTCCAAATTAGATATGGAGATTATCTAGTAATAAAAGAAATGGTCTAAAAAATACATTAGCAAGTAAGCATGTTTCGTGTACAAAAGAATAATAAACATTAAAGTTTCTGTAATAATTTAAGAAAATGATGTAATTTTTACTCTTGAAGACCCTGAAAATTAGTGCATTGCAATTTTTGGCTAAAGTTCCAAAATAGGAAAGAGATTCAGTACTACTTACATAAGCCTTCAATGTATTTTTTTTTTAGTAGACCCAGTATAAACTAAGTTGCATGACAAACTCCAGTTTTTTTCCTATTTGTTTATTTCTGCAATCCATGACTTTTAGGACATCCTTTGGGAAAAAAATTAACAAGGGAATCCATGTTCTGGATATGGTCTACAGACACAACAAATACAAACCGGAATAAAAGAAAACAAAGGATTCTCGTGTTAGCTCTTCACCTTTTCATACCCTTCCCAACCAATATCCCAGTGTGTAGCAACTCTTTTAATATGTTCTAATGACATGCAAATGGGCATAACTAAGGCTCAGATGTAATTATAAACAGGATATGTTAATGCTGAAGCAAATTGCTTACAGAATCTTATGAGGAAATCACAATTGACTAGGAAATAAAACTGTTAAATTATCAGAGATTAAAAGCTATAAAAAATGGTTTATGAACCCATTCGAAGACTGAAGAACTAATTTAACACTGATATACTGCACGTGTAGGTCAATTTGATAAATTTTTCACCTCATCAAAAAAATCTTTTCTATTTATGAACAGAATTTAAGAATTTCAAAAAGTCCATGTAATAGAGTTATACGTTTCACCATTTTCTTTACAAATTCCGTTAGAAAACAAAATATATTTGTGCTATTTGTAACATTAAACACAGAGATTTCAATTTAGACAACATTGAAATTTCTCGAAAATAATTCTGTACTCACCTGGATCCGTCAACAACAACACTTGGGTTGGTACTATTGGGTTTCCCTCATGTAATCCCATTCGATAGGCAATGTCTTTTATATTTTGAATCATATACTTCAATTCTGAGGCGATTTCGTCATCGTAGGGCGACGATTCTGGAATATCTTGCATCGCGCGAATAAACAGCACCGCTTTGATTATATTGGCTTGAATCAAGCTTCGAGAATCGTGAATAGTAAAGTGACTCAAGAGGTACTTTCTTGTTTTCAACAGACATTGAGCGAAGCCTTCATTTATGAAGCGATATGGAATACCTTTGTCTCCGAGTGGGCGCTAAAATAAGAAAACACGTGTTAAATTAGTGAACATTTACAACAAAGACTTCATTAGACAGAATAAATTTGAAAAGTCCGAGATTACGGAAAAGTTTAAACCGTTACATCGCAATAAACTCAACTGGTAAGTTGAGTCAATTTGAAGTGTACATTTGATAAACCTGAATGACGAATGATCTTGAAATTCTTGAAGAATCATCAGAAAAATTAGTTTCGGATTTGAATCCCTGGAGATAAAAAAATGTGCTGAAGTGAGGGGCTCCCGTAGAAAAAGACACTTGCCCCCATTTTCGTCTCGATTGCCCTTTTTCTAATCCCGAAACAGAAAATTCGCGAAAAGAAACTAATGAACAATATTTGTCCATTGACCCATGCAACTTCATATGTTGACCAAAACCTATTCGTTATTTTCGAGTGAAACAAGTGCCACCTTGTGAGGGCGTTGATCTGACTTTGAAGCTCTTTGCATAACGTACAGTACGATGCCCTCTTTAATAGCTTGTTCCCCCCTTTTCATAGTCTGCAATCCACTGCTTTAAGTACAATTTTTTAATAGAATAATATACAAATCGAAAAAGTTACTTACTGGAGGTTGAAAACTGATCTTTCCTCGATTTTCCTCCACTAAAAATTAAAGTATTTCATTAGACTCGAAAAAAAAAAAAAAACAACAAAAAAAATAATAGAGAAACGATTGTCATCCTACTTACATAAATCCTCGATATGTCTTTCCACTGTCTTACTGTTTTTATCTCTGATGGTCAGTTGCTTGTCAAGGGACTGTACCAAACTCATAACTTCTTCGACTGTTACCGCTTGCTCTTTTTCTTCACATATTTTCTGTAATAAGATCGAATATTCTTCAGCTAATATCGTTGCTTCTGGATGAGCGATACTCGCTCCACTTGCTGTCTCGTCTAGAGATAAAAGACAAGATTGAAATATATTTTGATCAAAGAGAGAATAATGAGGACTGAGCACTTACCTAACTTGAAGAGGCAAACCAACTTTAGGAGATACAAATGGTAAAATGTAAATTTTAAATGGAACATCTGTGTGGCTATATTCAGGATAATAATGAGCAAGCATCTGTGCTTATAGGATTTTATGTTATCTGGATTGATGTATCCCCCGTCCACTTTGAAGGCTGGCCCTTTGCCTACCTGATCGGCTATTGCTGTTAGGTACTTTCCTTTGTTGCCATTTGCTTTTAAAAGAACGATCTGAAACGAAAACAAATCTTCGTTTAGAATCATAATGAATCTCCGGCCTAACTTACAATTGTGAAATACTACACTAAACTTGGAGCCCATTAAGTCTCGCTAAAATCAAACTTTGACTTACAGCACCAACTACAAAGTGTCTATCGTTCTTCAGAGATCTAGCCAAGTGTTGCTTTCAATAATCCTTCTTCAACAGTTCAACAGGACTTTAAAATCCTTTTAAGTTGTAGAAAGTATTGTAAGTGTAATAAGCAGAAGAGCTTTGAAATCCTTCTTTCTTTCCCTTCTGTTTATCCCAGATGACCATTCATCAATATACTCACTTAGTATCTTAAGTGGTATGAAATTTCAGGTTCTACTCTCTAGAAAGGATTATTTCTAGAGAGTAGAACCTGAAATTTCATCTTTCGTTTCATCTTAGTGTAATTGTACTTCAATCCAACCACCTAGAGTATGTATAAACAAACGATCACTCAATCACCCAAATATACGTAAGTGGGGGAAGAATGCTAATTTTTTTAATGACGACCTAAAAAACAATTCATAATTAAACATACTATGGCACCAACGAAAGAATCATTGCATCTACACATTCTGCTGTTGTGTTTAAGAATTGAAACAAATTTAAATAAATCACTCATCTTTGCATTGTTTAAATGCAAAGAAATTTGAGTGCATGGTCAGTAAAAACGTCTATATATTGAGAAAAATTTAGTTCTATTTAAAAATTTTTTCATTTTTTGCACTTCTGTTAACAATTAAGTCTTTTTTCAGGCTCATAATAGACATTTGCAGAACAGACCGTCCATATAAAACACTTGAGAAAGTGAACCCCAAGAGACTTAATGGGCAGAGAGGATGCTAACATAACCTTAAATACGTCAGTCTTAAGAGGATGTTAAATCTGAAGGTCACTTACCACTTGGTCGACGTTCAGTTGAAAGATGTCTTTCTGCTCCCAGATCCATTGAACATATCGATCCCAACACCGATCCAAGTATTTGGCAAAGTGAGCATCGGCACCTTTTTCTTCCAAGGACTGTTTTTCATATAAAAATATTTAGTTTCTTGTATATTGACATGTATCATCGCGAATCTTGTGGATTCCACACATGATATGGGATATCCAATTGAATAATTCATCAAATTGAATTAAAATTCCATTTTGTAACGAGAACTTTTCCTGAATCTACTATTATAAATCTATACTAATTCAAAAGAAGACTTACCTTTTCTTTAGATCCTCCATCCACATACTGTTTCATTAATTCCGAATTGTAATAGATTTTTTCATACGCTGGGTATGTAATAAATAAATTTTAAAAAGAAATAAGACAATCTCTAAATAATAAAAACACTCACTAAAAATATTTTCCACGTTCAAGTATTGGAAAACAATAGAAAGAAGACAGGAAGAACAATTTTTGGTACATCCACCACGGCAAAAGACTGTTGTTCCCTTTTTAACCAGTTCTTCCATTTTTGACTCGCACTCGTAACATAAGTATATGCAGCCGTATACTATTCCTATTTCTTCACAAACATAACATTTTCCAAATGTTGATATGTGAAGTTTTGCTGCCAATTCGATGTTCTGGTCGTTCATTTCTCTTTCTTCTTTTTCTGCCTCTGTTTCTTTACCATCTTCTTCTTCCATTATTTCTAAAATATTAAATAGATTAAAGAGAGTTTCCATTCAGGTAAGATCTCGTATATGCACCATAGTTTGTTTCTTTAAATTAAGAATTCTTTATGCCCATTACAAAGTTAAGATTTTTTTCATTATTGTAAGAATTTTAAAGATTGTCAAAATTACTTCCCTTAATTCAATGTTCTAGTTAAATTTGGGAAATTCGTGTGGGTTGTCAAATCAGAAATCAAAATTTTTAAACAAATTCATATACAATCGCCACCATACATGATCATTAAGTTACGCAGGGTCTTACTAAACACGATTTGACATGCGTAGCTGTGTACAGATGAAACAGGTGATAATTTACAATATATATGTCTCTAATAACAGCAGTTAGCTTCTGTGCTTATTACTGTGCTAAGCTACACACTGTGGCTAGTTTCGCGTGCATCACCCCATATAATAATAATAATAATAATAATAATTTAAACGTAACAACTGCGTCTACTTGCCTTAATTCGGGAATGCTCGATATTGAAATAATTTACCTGTATTTGGGTCTTCAATAACTGGAAATGATTCTTCTATCATCCTGGTTTCAACAGAATTATCCTGTGCTCTCTCATAAATAGTTTCCTCTTCTTCCATTTCAATTTCTAAATTAGTATAATATGTAGTAATTAATAACACGTAAAATCATAAAATTTCTATGAATAAACTTATGAATTGATTGGTTACCTTCTTCTTCTTCATCGGTAAACAATTGATCACTATCTTGATCACCTACAAAAGAAAAAAGGCCAAAAAATTAATAGAGAGAGTGACATCAAATGGGCGTATTTTGAAAAGTTTGATCAGATTTATGGTTATAAAATCACAACTATGTAGCGTCTTAGTGTACAAAGTACTGCAGATGTATATGGTTGCAATGCGTGGGAATGGGCAAAATATCTAAAAAAGTGTCACTATGCCAGTGGCTTAATCCTTGGGTAACAATAAAATGTTGAAAGGCGAGCTCCATTTACGCACTCGACGTTATACATCTAATAAATAACAGAATGTTCTATGGCTTACGGAGTGTAATGGATGAAGGATGGCTGTTAAAAAGTGTAAAAAATAACTTTACATAGTTTATGGATGATCCCAAACATTATTACAGGTGAAAAGCTTTATTTTGGAGGTAGAGTGTTTTTAAAATAAGTATAAATGCAAGATGTACTGCCACCTGTTGAAATGTAAACGTTACCCAAGGTTTCACTTGAGCCATCATTTTCCAAATTTGACAATGGGAAGTGTTGCTTGTGCAGTGTTATAAACTTTGCCTACTTTGGTGATGTAAAGATCTGTTGCCAAGTAGTTTGGAAAATTTTATATTGAAGGGAAGATGTGTAAAAGCGAGTGCCATGCGAGGAGTTTTTCCTTTTTGTACTTGCATCTAGACGTCACCCATGTGATTCAATACGTTTTGCCTTAATTAATATTAAACCATATATGAACCTTCATAAGTGAAACTTATTTTTAACTTACAACAAAATCTGGGTTTGTCCCTTCCGGGAAGAAATGTCGCTGGTCCCTTCTACACACTAATTGGTCCCCTCCACCCAATAGCCAACTCGAATTGTCCGTAGCGCCCTAACCGATAACAGGCAGAACCATTCATTTCTTTGAAGAATTCATACAGTAAACATGATCCTTGTACGATGATATTATTGACTTGGGGTTGGGGGTTAAAGAGAAATTTCAAAAATTATAATAAAAAAAAAATACTAACAAGGCGACTGTGTTCTCTATAAACTGTGGTACCCAGCAACACGGCACCCCAACTTCTACACACTCTACAGTCTCTCAGCACATAGCGCTTGTCATCAGTCAGTACATGCAGTAAATATAGTCACATTGTCAAGTGCAGTACACAAACTAGTTGAGACGTGTTTGCATACCTTGAATACAGCATTTTTGCACATAAAATCAAAAGCCAGAAATTGCTTAAATGCAACTGATGACTTACGCGTGATTCTCAAAAAAAGAGCTTCGTTTAAATAGAATTATTTTCAGATTCAACGGGGTGCTGACCAATAAAAAGGTTAAGAACTGCTGTTCTAGACAAATCCTTTATGTTTAGTTTTACGATTAACGAATAAATAACTTCTCAAATATATAAACGTAGGTACATATTTTCTGTTAATAGGCTATAAATACTAGATACTGTTAATACAAACGATATCGGGCAATTGTGCTGTTCGCAAGCGGTTTTTCCATTATTGCTTCATATAGTAAATAATAATAATAATAATAAGTCGTTTCTAATTACAATAAAAATCGATAGTATATTATGATTAGGGATTGCAATTGCTGGATCCCTCATCCAGCAATCCAGCTGGATCCAGCACATTTTTCGGCCTGTTAAATCCAGCACCAGGTGCTGGATCCAGCGCTGCGGATCCGCAAATACTCAATTAACTTTCTAAATAATGGCGCAAAAGTCTACGTTGTAGGCCTTGCCACTTTGCTACGTGTGCTATCACTTGGCGGCGAGAGCGACGTTGCCGTTCAGTGCGGCACATGCTACACCCTTTCTCTACACCGCACCGCCCGCTCTTTTACCTCTGCTGATCTAATTGCCAGTTGACTTTCCGCTCTCGCTAAATAAAGTGTCTTTGCGCTAAATAAAATAAGTAACTCCTATCCTAGTCCTGGTGCATAATTCTAATTTACGGTCAGTTGTAACGTCAATGAATCACGTGACAAAACAATCGCAGTTTAAACTGACCGAAGAATTTCTCTGCAGAAGAGTCGAGTTTGATAACTGCTGAAACAACCCTGAAATTTGTCTTAGACAAACTAAAAAGCCATGACACAATCTCGAGTCCCAACCCTTCCGAGGCACTCCACAAAAGAATCAGAGAATGGCGTCTTACTGAGGTCAAGGGATGCTGATTTACATACAGAACCCAAAGAAGTATGACCAAAAGTTAGAAAGCTTTATCTTTCACATGCCGAAAAAAATGTAATGCGCCGGGAGATGAAATATATGCTGAATCGAGTAAATACATATGTAGTGGAACTAGCAGCAATGGCAGAGGATATTACGGAGGTTGAAGACAATGATCCAGATAACTCAGATTTCCTGAATTTCACATTGGAACAAGAACTAAAGATCCAACTGAAGCGTGAGAAAGAAAACTTCATGAAACGGAAAGAAACTAGTACTGAGAAGGATTATAAGTTATTAAAAAAAGGAAATGGCTGTTTATGAAAGTGAGAGAGTCAGAGGTGAAAACTAATCTTTGATTTATCATTACTTGATAACACTGAATCCAACTAGCGTAGAGGCAGAAAAGGCCTTCTTCGCAGCGGGATATATATACAGTTCATTAAGAAGTAGGTTGGGAGACAACAACATCAATACAATTTGTTTCTTGAGATCCTACTTTTAGAAAAGTCAAAAAAAATAACAGAAGTGATTGATTTAATTTTATTTAATCCTTTAAAATACTTTATTCAAGACAAGACTAATATTTTATAACTTCTACCTTAATTCTATTAAGTAAGAGTTTTTAACTTTTATTCTATAAGTGAAATTATTATTACAATTATAATCTAACTAAGCATTTAAAGTTAATTATCTCTCTCTCAAGTGTTTAACCGAACCAAAGTTACTACCTAATTGTGTAAGAAGTTTTACTGATTTTTAGTGACCAGTCTAAATAATAAAAGTTTCTTAAGTATTTAAAAAAAGGTAATAGCTTATCCTTACTTCATGGGCCCTTTTTTTCTAATTTTGCTCTCTTTAGACACCTCTCTAGTAGACGTGTCCTAAACACCTAGAATTATTTGGGGGAGACGCGTATATTAAGAGCTATAAGCGAAAACGCATCGGATTACTTACCGACTGTGCACGGTGGAGGCCGCCATTGCTTAACCTTGTTCACATCGCGGAGTAGCACGTTGGACGGCGGACGCTTACAATTCGTGTCACGTGACCTCGGTTAAATGTCATCCAGTCACGTGAGTGGTGACGACGGAGCAGGTGGTCACGTGACTACAGCTCTGACGTATTTCCGGACAACTATATCTTGAGTCACGTGATAGAGTACAGTGCGTTCGTTAATAGCGATCGTTCGTAGACATAGCGAACAACGGACAGAGGGAAAAAAAAGATGGCGACGTCCGTAATATCGACAGTATCGTGATGGCGGAATCTATAATTTTAAAATATGCATTTTTAGAGACAAAATATTAAAAAAGCCTTCCAATATCATTTTAGTAGTTACGAAGAAAAGCTCGAGACGACACTTACCAATTACACCGTGTATATATATATATATATAAATAATATATTGACGTGCGCTTTCACAACTTGTAATTTTTCATTCATAAAACCACATAATGGACACGAAAACGGAACTATCTGAGTCCACGTTGTCTCCTACCTTAAACTTCTATTACAAATACACGTCGTTGCGTCCGACAGCGCGCTTCTCGCCAGAATGTAGAAACGAGTTCGAAATTAGCAGAATTAGCCTTTATTGCTAACACGTGACTACTTCTTGGGGGGCAACCCGAACTTTGCTCGAGTTACGCTTCCGTAACACCGTAACATTCTATAACGAAATTCACGAGTTAAGATTTGACAACGACGATTTATTTTTCGAGATTAACTTCTTAAAAAGAGAACAGAATCAAATTACTTTAAAATTCAGATTAAATGTTTATAAATTTATTATCTAAATTTATAAACATATATGTTTTATATAGTCTAACTAATCCTTTAAGTTTAAAAATGTAAAGTTATGTAACTATAATTTATATGTAAGATGTGGGATCGATTGGCTACTACATAAAGACTTTAAAACAATAGATGCAACACCAGTTAGAGCAGTGTTCATTCACCCAGTTTTTGTTTTTTTTTTCATTTAATTTCACATAGATAAGACGGATCATCTCTGGTCCGCAGACCACAGTTTGAGTAGCACCGTGTCACGAAGTTCGATCGGTCTCAGGCAAAGGGCGTTATTAAGTCAGACAGCGAGCGACTTTGTTTTAAATTTCTTTTATGAATCGCACAAATTTTATTTCTTATCAGACTTTTCAATTAAACGCGAAAATACCTGTAGCTTTTAACACCAAATGGTTTACAAAAATGAATGAAATCGGAAGTAACGTAGTCGACAGAAAATTGCCAACCGGGATGTATTTAAAGAACGGATAACATAACCTTTCTAGATATTTGGCTGGATTCTTAATGCTTAAATGTAACGAAAACGTTCGCTTAGTAAAAGTTTGATATCTAAAAAGGTTTGGTTATTCATATTTTAGAAACGCGAGCTTAAAAACAAATCGTTAAACTTGGAAGTTTCTTCCTGTTATTTGGAGTCGAATAAACTCGGAATGAAAAACTGATTGTCGCTTAACACGTTCAAAGTCCTAAAAAACAGTAAAATCTTATAATTTACTCAAACGCGGGTGTAGCAGCCTTAAAACTTTTCTAGAAAATTACTTTCTTAAAAAAAGAAATTTTATAGAAAATTGTTATTAAACTTTTAATATTAAAACGTTAACAATAATATTAAACTTTTAATATTATTATTATTAACGTTTAAATGTTTGAGAAAAGAATGTAACACAGCATTAAGAAACGAAAAAACATTTTTTATATTTGAAACTATATCATACAGTCTTTATGCTATATATACATAAAAATATATAATTTTTTGAGTCTATTTCTTTTTATCCTTTTTACAGACCAACTCAGAAGTAACAGTAAATTAGTTTGAAGATTT